AGCCAACTTCATACAACCCCGCCTCCAGCCCCACCCCTGTATAGCTAATCCCCTCCCACTCTCTAGCCCCACCCCTGTATAGCTAATCCCTCCCACTCTCCAGCCCCATAGAGCCAACTTCATACAACCCCGCCTCCAGCCCCACCCCCGTATAGCTAATCCCTCCCACTCTCCAGCCCCCCATCCCCATAGAGCCAACTTCATATAACCCCGCCTCCAGACCCCCACCCCGTATAGCTAACCCCCTCCCACTCTCCAGCCCCCCATCCCCATAGAGCCAACTTCATACAACCCCGCCTCCAGCCCCATCCCTGTATAGCTACCCCCTCCCACTCTCCATCCCCCCCATCCCCATAGAGCCAACTTCATACAACCCCGCCTCCAGACCCCCACCCCGTATAGCTAATCCCCTCCCACTCTCCAGCCCCACCCCTGTATAGCTAACCCCTCCCACTCTCCAGCCCCCCATCCCCATAGAGCCAACTTCATATAACCCCGCCTCCAGACCCCCACCCCGTATAGCTAACCCCCTCCCACTCTCCAGCCCCCCATCCCCATAGAGCCAATTTCATACAACCCCGCCTCCAGACCCCCACCCCTGTATAGCTAACCCCCTTTCCAGCTCCCCCGCCCCCCGCAGACCCAACTTCCTACAACCCTCCACCTCCTGTATAAACAACCCCCTCCCGCGTAGCGCCAACTTCCTGCAACTGCACTGCGTTCGCCATTTATCAGGTACTGTACATAGGTTCCATTAGCAGATGGGGAACAACTTAACAAGTGACTTGGAAACAAACGCAGATAGGTTCCCCTGCAGGCCCTGCAATCGAAACATTGCCGCACTGTTGCGCCTGTAAGAAAACTAGAACGTGTAATTGACTAGCAACAAAAATGAAACTGATTAATTTATTTTCATTGTCCAGCCTAAGTTGCAAAAAAGTAAAGAAGCTCCAGGCAGGGTGAACAGCATGTCAGGTCTTAGTTTGAATAGCCTCTGTTGGTGTTTTTAACTTAAGCAGAATTTTTTATGCAGCCACCTTCTTGAATGAATGAATGAGCATCTGCCAAAACATAAGAAATAAACTTGTAAAACAGGAGCATTATTAGAGTGCACTGTGTCTTTAAGGGCCACGCTGGAAGGCTTCCGGGGCAGTAGTTTGCCAAGCGTGGTTGCTCAATGCATGGCTCAGTGATTAATACAGTAGCGGAAGTGGGATCATACAGGAAGCAAAACATTACAGCAGCGGAAGTGCGACCTGTTGGGATCCAGGACGCTCTATGCGGCTCGAGTCTTATACCTAAATCTTAGAGCTCAGAGCTACCGGAGATGGGCCATGTGGTTATTGAAATCGTTATGGATCCGGCCTCTCCTAAGCCTTCAATGTACCAGGGGCGCTCAAGCTGGCCTCGGGTTTTGTAGCTGGAAGCGCCAGCGGAAGCAATTGCTGCATCCACTGATGGCTAATCGCAGCCTCTGCATGGCCGGCTGCTCCCAGGACGCCTCATGTACGTCTGGTACTTCTGCAGCATGAACCGTTTAGTTGTGTTTAAAAAGATTATTGATGCCACCCTTGCGCCCTGGTATTTGTAGCATCAGGAATCTCTCGCGCTGTCTCTCAATAGGTTTGTTATTTGAGATGAAAGTACTGTAGAGAGAGAGAAAAAGCAAACGCCACTTCATTCCCCGAAATAGGTTGATGGTTATTGTTTTTCACCAAGAAGTAGCTGATGCTTATTTTGAAGGTATTTGAGAAAATGCATTTGATCTAGTGGCTATGGTGGTGGTAGTTTATTAAACATTGTTGCTGTGGTCCTTGATTTATCTTTTCTTAAGTATGTAGCTGTATGTACATTAAATCTGCTGATCGCAATAGGCAGCCTCTATTCAGTGTTTGCCCTCCCGCAAATTACTCGTGATATTACGAAGAAGGAACCCATCTGCCAAATGGGGAAGTTTAAAAAAAATGAAATGCAATATATTGAAAAAGTGTCACGCCTTGCAAATATATCCCCCACTCTTCATTTTTAGAAAACAGGATGAACTGTGGTTGGGTTTTTTTTTTTTTTTTTGTGTAGTAGAAAGGAAGAGGCAGTTTTTGAAAGGTTGAGCAATCAGGAACTTTCAAAACCCTTTTATGGCACTAGTCAGTACTTGTAAAACAAATACCCATCTCTACTTCTCTATTAAAATGCACGCATGAACAATATACTGTAATTAAATGCCCTGAGTCCTTGCTCAGCTATACACAGTGAACAAAGGTGCAGTGAACATTGTAAAGGGACATATCAAATTGCAATCCAGTCAATTTCAGAAAATGAGTTAAAAGTACATCTCTACCCCGATATAACGCGGCCTGATATAACGCGGTAAAGCAGTGCTCCGGGGGAGGGAGGGGCTGCGTGCTCCGGCAGATCAAAGCAAGTTCGATATAACGTGTTTTCACCTATAACGCGGTAAGATTTTTTTTTTGGCTCCCGAGGACAGTGTTGTATCGGGGTAGAGGTGTAGTTTTAATTATACCTGTTCTGAGTCTCCTGTCAATTTAATTTTTTTTTTTTTTTTTTTACAATCACAAAATTCCCTGTTTTTAATATGGATTCCCTCCACTGTGAGAGAGGCCCAAACAAACAGAGAGAACCTGACTTTGTACAGGCTCTGGAGTCTGCACTACCAGTTTGAATTGTGGAACTGTGGTTTGTCATTCTGCACACAAAGTTCTGTCAAAGGTGCATAGTATCTGTTTTTCTCTACTCTTTTCAGTGATAGTTTATCTTAGATGTTACTTGTAACAATAGTAGGTACAAATTTTTAGATGGACGAGTGACTTTTAAATTGAAACTGTCTCCTTAGTATCTAAGTTCCTGATCCTGCAGAGAGCTCTGCTGATTGTGAAGTCAATGGGGCTTTGTTCAGGCACAGGGATCTGCCAATAATTCATTGCAGATTTGGGGCCTATTTTCTTACGGTGAAAATAAGAGCTAACAAAGAAACAACCATACATAATAAATAATCCTATTCAATGAAGGTAGGAACCAGCCATTTGACTACTTGTAGTGTATAATAATATAAAGTAAAGCATATGAATTATAGCCATGGGAGTTTAATGTAACATGTTTACTGTACCCTATAACTCCTAAACCTAAAACTCATTAATATATTCATTCTTACAAGAGTCCTGATAGTGGCTTGGATATACAATCTAAGGGTACGTCTATACCCAGCCGCTAGTTTGGCGGCAAGCTATCGAACTTCTGGGTTCGACTTGTTGCGTCTTGTCTGGACGAGATAAGTCGAACCCGGAAGTGCTCGCCGTCGACTGCGGTACTCCTGCTCGGCGAGAGGAGTACTGCGGAGTCGACGGGGGAGCCTGCCTGCCACGTCTGGACCGAGGTAAGTTCGAACTAAGGTACTTCGAACTTCAGCTACGTTATTCACGTAGCTGAAGTTGCATACCTTAGTTCGAATTGGGGGATTAGTGTAGACCAGGCCTAAGAGCAGTTTCCTAGTTCTTCTAACAGTGTTTCTTCCTGTTCTAGATAAACGCCTCATTAATGAAGGAGAGAAAAAGACAGTTGTAAGTATAATATTTTGCTCAGAAAAATGTATTTAGTATATTATTATTGCAATATAATTATATTATGGAAATGTCCACAGGCTAATGACTGGCTCTTGGTGTGAGCTGGTGCACAGATCTAGAGTCTTATCCTGCATTTTGTTCCAGGCAGGCAGACCTTTGCTGAAATCATTGAGGTAACTTAAAAGAAAATCAGGAGGGTTTCATGCAGGGGCTGCTCGTGTGGAACACACGTCGCTTGATCAGGGCCACAGAAGTAATAGTCAGCATTCTGAATGTAGCCTCCTTCATTTACATTACATGTATTTTGGCTGTAAATTCTAAGTACTGTACTCAATTCATGGTGTTTTAAATCTAATTATTTTACGAACTATTAGTAGATGGTTGGACAAAATACTTTTCACTCATTTTAGAAACCTAGATGGCTAAAAGAAATTGTAATTTGCCTGAGAAAAATCTATTTATGGGTGTAGAAGTGATAACATTTAATGTACAGTAAATTGTATTCAAAGTAAGCTTAAAGCCTTTTGGGGTGAAATTTAACACAGTGTGGATGGCTGTGTAATGGGTGCTGTAAAAGGTGCAGCAGCACTGCAGGGAAACCTCTGCAACCCTGCGTGCCATGGAAAGGGGTTCTGCACTTCTGAAAAGGATGTTGTGATGGGGAGTTAGGATTGGATGGTGCAGATCCAGTAGCCCAAAGCCTGCAGGCATTGAATCAAACTCTTATTATTTTAATAGCCACACTGACTGTAACAGGGCATATGGGACTGGGTGCAGATGTGCAGTTGCAAACATGGTTTTGAAAATCTGGCCAGTTGAAGCCAACATGTATCAGTTTGCACAAGTAAGGCCCAAAACTGTACTGGCAACTTATATCTTTAGATATTAAAGGTCTGATTCCCCACTGTGTTGTTCCATATTTATTCCAGCACAAAACTCCATTCCTTTCAACATGTCACTCCATTGTAAAGCTTGTACAATGCGATAGTGAATCAAGACCCGAACTCTTGAAGTTCTCTTGGAAATGCCTTAACTATATTGACACTAGAATTTGCTCTAATGTATTTATAATGCTAACGGATTATTTTTAGACTATAAGTATGTGTTTCAACATTTGCTGTCAGTTATTTCTTTGCAGTAGCATTCATTCAGTATTGAAAGGTTGGTGTCCTCTTTCCCCAGATCTGCATTGAGGGGAATATTGCAAGTGGAAAAACAACATGCCTGGATTATTTTGCCAAAACTACCAGCATTGAGGTATGGGGCTTGAAACGTCTTAATGTTCAATCAAATCAGCAAGAGTTTTTCTATTTATAACATTGACAGTATTTGAGTCTACTGCAGTATTTCCCAAGATTAAATGTGAGTAAGATACATTTAAAGGCACACTGTCAAACATTTTCTAGTTTTTAAACTCTTAGCAATAGTCTCAGAAGTTTAAAAACAATACTTTTCTTTCTTGATGTTGCCCTTTTTCATTTGGCAACCAATAATTTTCCTTGGTTTTTAGTTAATGGAAGCCA